TACGTTATCAAACTTCGCATGCCATTGTTTCGGAGCTTGTTTAAGTCCATACAATGATTTCACAAGTTTACACACTTTTCCCTCTTGTCCGTGCACTCTGCACCCTTCAGGTTGAAACATTTATACTTCTTCTTCCAGTTCACCATTTAGAAATGCAGTCTTTACATCCATCTGATGTAATTCTAGATTATGTAAGGCTGCCAAACCTTATGGATGTTTTCCGAGCGACTGGAGAGTAAACATCGAAGTAATCGACACCCTCAGTTTGCCTATAGCCTTTGACTACAAGTCTCGCCTTGTATTTTTCAATAGAACCATCCGGTTTTATCTTTCTTTTGAAGACCCATTTATAACCCAATGGTTTGCATCCTTGTGGAAGATCCACAAGTTCCCAAGTGTGATTTTGTCGGATTGATTCAATCTCACTCTTCACTGCTTCCTTTCAATAAGGAGCTTCGGGTGATGATATAGCCTCTTGATATGTCTGTGGTTCTTTATCCAACATAAACGTTAGATAATCAGAACCAAAAGAAGTCGGTTTCTTTGCCCTTTTACTTCTTCTAGGCTCTTCATCCTCTTCCTCTAATTGCTTAGAAGATTCATGAATTCTTTGAGATTCCATATCACTTGGATCTAATTCTATCCGAGTCTTATAGGGAAATACATCTTCAAAAAATGAAACGTCTCTTGATTCAACGACTGTATTCGCATGTATTTCAGAATTATCTGATTTATACACCAAGAATCGGTAAGCACTCGAATTGTGTGCATAACCAACAAACACACAATCTATTGTCTTTGGTCCTAACCTAGTTCGTTTAGGAATAGGGATAGGAACCTTAGCCAGACAACCCCATACTCTCAAGTATTTGTAGCTAGGTGACTTGTCTTTCCACAACTCATAGGGTGTTTTGTCGAGCCTTTTGTGGGGCACTCTGTTTAATACAAAATTAGCAGAAATCACTGCTTCCCCCCACAAGTTCTGAGGAGATCCAGAACTTATTAACATAGCATTCATCATCTTTTTCAGCGTTCTATTCTTGCGTTCAGCAATGCCATTCTGTTCTGGCGTATATGGGGCTGTAGTTTGATGGATGATGCCATGATCTGCGCACAATTGCGCAAAAGGCGACTCATATTCACCTCCTCTGTCGCTTCTCAAAGCTTTGATTTTCTTTCCAAGTTGATTTTCAACTTCGTTTTTATAGAGATTAAACATCTCTATTGCCTTATCTTTACTTCTCATTAAGTAGAGATAACAATATCGAGTACAATCATCAATAAATGTAATGAAGTACTTCTTTCCGCCTCTGGTTTGCACATATTTCAAATCGCATACATCTGTATGTATCAATTCCAAAGGTTCAGTACTTCGTTCAATATTTTTAAACGAAGACTTAGCAAATTTCGCTTCAACGCAGACTTCACACTTGTGGTCTTTGTCTAATTTAAATTTTGGCAGTAGATTACAAGACATTAATCTTTGCATAGACTTAAGATTCACATGTCCTAATCTACCATGCCATAATCTTGACTCAATCAAGTAAGCAGAAGAAGTAGAAACTTTATTAATATCATTTGCGGTTATATTGTTTGCCGTATTGGTGTTACAAATGGTCATTACATTCATCTTGAACATACCATTTGCTAGATAACCTCTACCCAGATACACACCATCTTTTGACACTACAACTCTCTCAGATTCAAACACTAGCTTAAAGCCTTTCTTTGACATCACAGATCCAGAGAGCAGGTTCTTGCGAATGTCTGGTACATGAAGAACCTCAGTGAGCGTCAGCTTCTTTCCAGATGTCATCTTCAAAATGACTGAACCCTTGCCTTCCACTTTGGATGCAGCAGAGTTTCCCATATAGCAGCTTTCTCCGGTGACAGTGTCATAGGTGGTGAACATCCATTTGTTAGCACAAATGTGGCGGGGTGCTCCCGTGTCAATCCACCATTCTCTCGGATTATCTCCGACCATGTTCACTTCTGACACAACTGCTACGAATTCAGACTCCCCATCTTCTACTTCAGCTACATGAGCTTGGGTTTTATTCCCAATTTTCTTCTGGGCACCTTCCTTGCGATGGTAGCAGTCCTTCGCTAGATGTCCAGTCTTGCCACAGACGTAGCAATTCCCCTTGAATTTCTTGGAGTTGACATTCTTATCAATCTTCCGCTTCTTAATCCCTTTGGCCTTAGTCGTCTCAACGACATTTGCCTTGGATCCAAACTGCCCATTCATTTTAAGAATAGGTTGAGATTCCTGCCGAATTCTCACACGACGATGTAAATCCTTCAAAGACATGTCCCTAGGTTTTTGTCTCAGGTCATTCTTGAAACTCGTCCAGGAGGGAGGCAATTTTTCAATCAGAGTTGCCACCTGGAACCGTTCATTTACCATGATGTCTTCTCCCGCCAAGTTGTGGAAGATGATTTGTAATTCATCTACTTGTTCCACAACACTCATTGTATCTACCATACGATAGTTTAGGAGCTTGGCTACCACCATTCGTCCTTGGCTAGCCTCTTCAACCCGATATTTATGATCAATCGCTTCCCAGAGTTGCTTTGTCGTAACATATTTGGAGAAAACACCATAAAGCGAATCATCCAAACCGTTCAGCACAAAGTTCCAACACATGAAACTGTTATGTTTCCATTGTTGGTAACTAGCTAGAGATTGGGCATTGCCCTCCTCTGGCATTGGTTCCTCTTCAGTGAGGTACCGTGACAACTTAAGCTGTGTTAAGAAAAACAACATCTTTTGTTGCCAGCGTTTGAAATTTTGACCCTTAAATTGTTCAGGTCTCTCAGCCGGGCCGATAGGCACAATAGGAATTGCCTGGTTTTCGGAGTTCGCAACAACCGAAGGAACATGTTTGGATAGGACAACGTTCGCAACGTTTGGCACTTGATTATTCATATCTGTGCCAGCAACATCATGATTAACGGGGTTCGTAACCTCCGCTATATGAGGATTCTCATCGATATCCATAGCAGGAATCTCATTCCCTGGAGCAGTATTTGAATCCATGGGATTTCTTGGATTATCAATGATCTGTTGAATAAATCCAATCATTGTTAGCTTTCACAAAGCTTATAAACTAAACCGAGTTTCACTTAACTTATAAATTGGTTTTGCTCGCTTCCAGTGATAGCCGGAGGAGGGTTCACCCTGATTCCCACGTCCTTACTATGAGGAGGGTATAAAGGGCTTCCTCTTCAAACCCGGCCCGCTAAGACAAAGCTTGCTTCCCCAATTTACAGGAAAAGTTACTTCCGATTTTGTTTAACTTTTTTCTTTTCTTCCAAAAAAGATAAATAATAATATTCCTTTTTTTTTTCCTCACAAAACACTTTTAAATATATTGGGCTTTCTCTTATGGGCTTTTAGATTAATCTCTTCAAATTGGGCCAAGACTAAACTTTTTCAATTTGGGCTTACTCTTTTGGGCTTTTCAATTAATCTCTTTGAATTTGGGCCTTAAACTCAATTTGGGCTTCACAAAACAACTATTTGTTTTTTTTTCCCAACATTTTTTTTTTAACCTAGTTGTTTTTAGATCCAAATTCGTGTGAGATTTTATACCGAAATTAAAAGGAGATTTAGGCACTTACCCGAAAGTTTGCCTCGTGTTAACCATAATCGAACTTAAGATTGTTGGGGACGGCGGTTGTTGACGACGGCAAAACTCCGGCAATTCGAGCGATTCCAGATAAGTACCTGAAATTAAAAAATTATTTTGTCGAGGCCTGTGAAACACAGTTTCCTTAAGTTCGATTTCCGTGCCACCTCTAAAGCTTCGAGGCTATTGGAGCACGGTGAACTCCCAGGATACAACGACCGCGTATTTGGAAGAAGCTTTCCAAATACCAAGCGAACTCAGAGAGAGATATGAGCAAATATGTGAATGTTCTTTTTCTTTAGAATGCTTGTTTTTTTTTTCTGTGTGTGTTTTATGAGCTAACCCAAGACCCCTATTTATAGTAGAGGGGAGAATCTCAAAACAAATCAATTTGAATTTCAAAATTCAAATTTGATTTTATTTTGATATTATCTCAATCTTATCTCAATCATATTTGATAGATTTTCTGCGGATTTGAATCCAATTTGAATTTGAATTTCAAATTCAAATAAGAATATTCTCTTAATATTCTACAGATTTAAATTTAGACGGATCGGGCTTCTCACGGGCTAGGCCCGTTTTGATTCTATCAAATAAACCCAAATCCAACAAGAGGTAATTCATGGTGGAGATTGTCAGAGGATGTACTGATCCACCGGGAACCACAGTCTTCGACGAGTCCTTCTGGATTCCGGTCTCGAAATCGTCCAATAGCGATCGAATCGAATCACCGAGGCAGATTAGAGAGTTGAGAGCTTGTTTACGGAAGATAGAGGTTGATTCGAAAGAGAAGATCGATTCGATTTCCTTCCAGTTGTCGGCGATCGTGCTGTACATGTCCAGCAGCCGGAAAATCTTTTCCGGGGGTGAATTTTTCTTGTTTTTGACGGCAACGGTTTCTGGAAAACCAAACAGAAGAAACGCTCCTTCTCTGGAGATGTCACTGAAACAAGACTCTCTGAGAGTATTCGAGGATTCGAAGACGTGATCGCACAGAATTCTCTCGCCGTTGAAGAGAGTCTTCAGGGAAACGTTCACCGCCTCGACCCAGCTTTTCATCAACATTTCAGCCACCTCCCATGGCATTTTCTTCATCTTCGACGAACTGATTCCCTCCACTCCGAGTCGGTAGATTCCTTCGTCGACGATCGATTTTCTGATGGATTTATATATACTCACGCACTCTTTTGCGTAACCGGAAGCGATCATGCACTCAGCAATGGTTTTCAAATCCGACATGGCTATTGTTGACACTTCCTCCACTTCGACAATGGAATCCCCTGCGGCGTTTGTTGCATCATCGTCGTCGGGAAAATCAGAAGTGCTAGATCTCGCAGAGGTAAGCGAAGATCGAGTCGAGACGGATTCAGGATCCAGATGTGCACAATTCATGGACAGAATCTGGTAAAACTCCTTCTGCAGCCTCTTCATCGCGATCTGCATCAGAGTATGAGCTCTCGCGAGGTTCTCCGAATTAGGATCCTCGGAAACCAAGAGACGCATCGTCGTCTGCAGATCCTTCACACGCTCGATGAACTCCATGGCTTCTCGCTTGCTCTCATAGAACATAGAAGTGACTCTACCAAAAATGGAGGCCTCCATGTTCCATTTCTGTATGATCTCCGCCGCAGAATCGATTTTTGCGTCGACAGCCGGTGATTCAGTGCTCCGGCTACGTGTTGACGGAGGAGGATTTGACGGCTCTTTGGAGACGCAACAGAGCTTTCTCATTGCTTTTCCTCGTCACAAAAATTATCTTCTGCAGGTCGAGAGAAAGAAATTTCGAAACGATGAACTCGTCGTTGCAGAGATTTTTGAAAAATGTTAGAAATGACAAGTTCTAGGGAGGGGACGGAGTCGTAGGGAGGATTTTATAGGCAACGGGAGAACGATGTCGTTACGGTTGATGGTGAAAAACGTGGGGGCAAACCTTGACTTTGTGGGCTTTTGGGCCTACACGTGTCAACGTGACGGGCTTTTTCTTCTTCCTCAAGGACCCGTTAATTTTATTGGAAATCAAATTTCATAAAGAAATTGTTGGTAGAAATTTCTATTATACAAGTTTTAATCAGTAAAAGTAATATGACAATAATATAATTTAAGACACGAGAGTTGAATTAAATATAAAGATTTTTAAATTTTTTAGAAAATAAATATTATTTTAATAAAAAAACTATTTTTTAATTGAATATTAAAAAGATTTGAATATAAAACTGAACGACTACCAATTTTTATAAAATATATAAATTGGTAGCAGATTTAAAATATAACTGACAACCAAAATATTTACGCCAAGATTAAATTACATCTACTGGGATAACGATTACAAATTATCATTATACCATATAAATAAATACAATAAGGTAATAATGTATGTGTGTTTAAAATGAAATATATTACTAGAGTTGGAAGGATGATTGTCTCTCTCTCTCTATATATATATATATATACATACATATATATATATTAAAGAGCTTCATAATATGTAAATTCCAATATCGTATACCAGTGTTATTATCGTTAATGCGAATATGAATGTGTCAAATTTGTTGGTTGACCAACGGTTGAATTACCTTGTGAATTCTATAAAACAAGGAAAGCTACAAAAATGTGTTTTTCATCACATATGGGACAAATAAAAATAAAAATATTATATAAAGTCAAGTGAATATATATATATATATATAATGGACCGCGTGCATGTCAAATACTTATGTTGATGATGATGCAATCTACATACATATTCCAAGAAAAATGGTACAATGGTTTTTTCTACGTTTAATTAAAATTATTTTTCTCATCCTATGGCTAGGGAGGAACAAAGTAATTATATATTCTCATTACACGGAGACAACCTATTACATATGTTTGACTATATATAATAATTGGTCAAATTTACTTTCAATTTTCTTAATTAAGAATTTGAAAATACAAAATATTGATACGTATTCGACGACTCTTGTATCGTATTATAAAGTTGTCATGATCACAAACCAACGACCTTTTAGAACATATATTACCCCCAAAACGACGAGACAACCTATTACATATATATATATATATATGCATGTATAGATGGAATAATCAGGTACCAATACCACAAGCGACCGTTGTGTTTTTTGACTCCGAAATGAACCGTGGGGTTAACTCGGTACGAATATAATCAATATTGTCGTCCATATTCATTTGCCTCTTTTGTCTATGCTTTTTAATATTGCATTTAAGAATATTTCTTATAACTCTTTACATTTCCAACAAGTTTCAAAAACTAAGAAAACATAAAGGAAATTAAATAGACATTCTTTTACAAAAAAAATGCCGAAATTCTTCTTTGTATTTTTTCCTCTGATTTATACGTTCACATATTAAATATTTTCTACTTCCAATATCGGTGATGTGTTTTCAAGGACTTGAAAAACAAGTACGTCATTTGAGATCTGGTTTGCGTATATTTGGTTTTTTGGTAATCATTCAATGTATATTAATAATTACGTCGTTGTCTGTAGCTTGGTCCAACAAATCATCTCCAAAAAATCGTATACAAGAATAATAATTTTTCTTCAACACAAAGGAGCACCGACCGCATAGCGCAGTGGATTAGCGCGTCTGACTTCGGATCAGAAGGTCGTGGGTTCGACTCCCACTGTGGTCGATTTGTATTTTATTGTTAAGTAATTTAATTTCCAAGTTTTCCTTTTCTTTTGTACAGATTATTTATTTTTCACATCGTCCGTATCGTACTGTATAAGTCAAAAACAAATGTAATAAATTCAACATGTGCAACGGACACTAAAAGTTACAATAATGAGTTGGTTCATCCTAACAAGAACCGAAGCAGTTTTGGGTCGTCGAGGACAAAATGATTTGAAGTTCCAATGGCATCGAAAGATAAACGAGTACACGGTGGTTTCCAAAACAAAACTGATAAAGAGAAACTAAACCAGAGCTGGTGACGATCATTTGTTCACAAATGAAACAGAGCCGCCGAAGTGGATTTTACACCTTGATTGCGTACTTCCTCACGGGAAAGTACATATCTCTTTTCTTCTCTCGCTCCGTCTTCAGTGATTTCTGCAAAGGGGAAATCAAAGGACCAGAAATCAGGCACAGTAGCATCATACGCTTTCTTCGTATACTAAGGGACTCCTCGTTTGATATGGACATGAACTCTCATGGGTTCTCTTCTTTGTCTTGCCCTTATGTTTAATGTCTTTGGAACTAAAAGTTTCAGCATTTATGGGAGCAACTGAACGAGTGTGAAGATGTTTAATAGCAACTCAGCAAGCAAATGAGTTATATGTTTTTTTTTTAATTTTGACAAACTCATGAGCATCAATCAAGAAAAAGAAAAAAAAAATGCGGACCTGGTGTTTGGTGAGGCGTCTCCTGATAGCACGGGTTTTCTTGGGACGAAGATCGAGAGGCAGATACTTCTTGTTCTTGTACGCTTCTCTCAGGGCAGATTTTTGCTTCTGAGATATCACAGTCAGCACCTGTGCAATGGATTTCCTCACCACCTTGCTGGATATACAAAATTAATACAACATGGTTGAACGTTAACTAGGAACCGAGAAAGTTTCAAACAGCCATATTCACATCAACGCTTCTAAAACAAGAAAACAATATTCACCTTATCATCTGCATTTCAACCAGGACTAGTTTTGAACCAGGAAGGAAGTGACATAAACCAAAGATTGAAGACATAATGAAATGGATATGCCCAGGTACCGACATAGATTTCCACACATGCCGTATTATTACATCATGGATTCATAACTAAAACCATTAAAATCAGCAGGTTCATTTGAATAGTCACTTATATAACACACCCAGCATATTCACAATCCGAATCAACACCTACATCAGATCAGAAACAATGCATAAACTCGAGGCACATAACAAGACAGTACTAGTTCGAGGCAGATGAAAAAAAAATGTTCATCTCACTCAGCACTATCTCGAGGTTAAATTAACGTAAAATGGAAAAAAAAAATGACATTTCCGAAATCGCTAATTGAAGTAAAATCAAAAGTGCGAATTTCCAAACGTATCACATATACTTACAGTGGAGATACGTACGAGTATATGTAGAAGCAAATACGTACATTTTGGAGAGCTTGTTCGGAGCACCGCCAGTAACTTTGGCGACACGGAGGAGCGCGAGCTCCGCCTTGAGATCCTTAAGCTGATTTAGCAGATCCGTCTTCGACTTGTCCCTGAGCTCGTGAACCTTAATCCTCGCTAACACAAGTCAAACACAACCAAAACACGGAAAATCAAAGACCGAAACAGAGAAACACGTTCAGACAGAACATGAACATGAACATGAACATGAACATGAATCATAAGGATCTAGCAATCTGTATTTCGTCTCACCCATCGTGAACTCCCTGATGTCGAACTGCTGTTGTCGCCGCTGCTGCTCGTGTTGGCTCCGACGAATCGAAAACCCTAATTTTGGACAAAGAGGGTTACTTATACAAAGGTAACCAGTAAGAAGATTTAAAAAAAAGAAAGAAATACTTCTGAGCCGGCTCATGCGAATTTAATGGGCCTATTAAAGGCCCAAATTAGATGTATTAATGGACTTGGCCTTTCCTATGAAGCGAAGAGCTTGTTACGTCGGTTAAGAGTTGACCGGAAACCGGTCTCATCAGCAACTGGTACCGGTTTTGGAACAGCGAATACTCATTACTCATTCATTGTACATATGACATAATATTTGTCTATTTATCATAGTTCCATTTCATATCTATATTGTATCACGACTACCAAAAAAACATGTATTTTATAATTGTATTTCATATCAGATTTTGTAAGTCGATTGGGACTTTTGTGAAACACGCAATAATTTCGTATAAAAAATAATATAAGTTTTGAGGTAATGCTAATGGAATTTTCATGCCAAAAAGGAAAAATAAAAAAATAAAATAAAGATGGAATAATCAAAGTAAAGGGGGCACAAATGTTCAAAAGCATCGGATTCGGTCGAGAATTGGTGGTGCATCTATGAGAATTGGATTCGCCAAACATCAATTTATTTATAGGTTGGGAAAGGCTGGCCATTTTATTTAAATTTTTCCATCAATATTATTAATCTCATTTATTCGTTGATATATATATTTTAAGTGATGCAACAATTTGGGGTGGACAAAAAAATTCAGCATGTAAACAATAACCAAAATAAATAAAACATTTCTGTATAAAAAGCGAAAATTTGTTATTTAATCCGATCTAAATCAAATTTAATCCAAACCAAAATATGTTGACAATAAACTCTTATACATTGCATAATTTATAAGCATATTATGAAATGCATTAATTAATGGGTGGCGTCTCTACACAAAACATTACCCATAAAATAAAATAAAAGAACAATGAAAGGGGAACAAAAAAAAAAAAGCCGATTCCCCTTCAAGGTAGATGCATGTACGTACTATATTTCCACCCCACTTTTATCATATAACTCAATTTCATCAAAGGCAGCGAAAAAAAAACAGATCACATGTTGTCTGCATCAGAAAAATCCATGGACCCACCCTCCCAACCCTCCTCCCCCCCCGCAGCCGCCGCCGTGCGGCTCGGCGGGCGAGCAATCGATCGCCACAACCCCATCATCCGAGACGGCCGGAGATTCACTCCTCCGCCGTCTCCGAACCCTAAATCTTCATCATCTCACCACCACACCAACAATCAAAAGACCCATAGAACTAAAATGGGTATGGAAAATGGAGGTGGAAATCATCAAGACAGGCCTGAAGAACAAAACCACGCAAAGAAGACGAAGAAGAACAAGAAGGGACTCGCTAACATTACTACAACTGCTACTCAGGGCTCTTCAAGGTACTTGTTGGACGAGCCGGTTTTCTTTGACGGGCTCGTGGATTCAGACCCGGTTCCCATACCCGTTGACCCGGTTTTCTCTGATGGGTTCGGCAATACCAACCCGGTTAAGGCTCCTGTCGACCCGGTTTTCTCTGATGGGTCCGTGGATTCCAACCCGGTTAAGGTTCCTGTCGACCCGGTTGATGATGGTTCGCAGAAAACTGAACCGGGTTTCTATTATAAGGAAGATAGACTGATACTAAATGCCTCGAAGCACATATCGTCGTCTTTCTTGGAAAAGAAGAAACCAGATTTCTTCAACGGGTTCTTAGATTACGATCCAATAGTTATGTGTCCTGATTATAAGTTGTTTGGTGAAGACAAACACCTTACAACTTCATATGTTCAAACCCAACCTCCGGAGAACAAACCAGCTTCAGATCAGGTAATTAATGTTAAAAGATAATTTATGGTAAGTATATATATAAAAAAAAATCTCATGCAGCTTTTTTTTTTGTCGTTGTCGTGTTTTTTGAAGGTCGTGGTTTTGAGAGTGTCACTCCACTGCAAAGGATGCGCTGTGAAAGTTCGGAAACATCTATCGAGGATGAAAGGTATAACCACTGGAAAAACAATTAGATATTTAAAAAAAAAAACGGTTATTCTCTGAGTGAGTGATCGAGCTGTGTCTCCGTTTGGCAGGAGTAACGTCGTTTAACGTAGACTTCGCGGCGAAGAAGGTGACCGTCATGGGAGAGGTAACGCCGTTAGGGGTGCTTGCGAGTGTCTCCAAGGTTAAAAACGCACAGTTTTGGCCTCAGATTAATTAACAAGTAATTAGTCTTTCCCTTTTTTCTTCTTTTTTTTCATGTTTTTTTCTTTAATTTTTGGACGGTAAATTTGGAATAATGGTGGTACACTTGTTGTTTTGTTACATGTCGTGTTTGATGCTTCAATTTTATGGTAATATAAATATATATTTCGTCAATAGTATAAACTATCAAAATTTGAGTTATAATCAATATATAATAACTTAAATACAGATTGGCATTTATTAACACTCTCAAAATACAATAAAATAACTATTGTTCTTATTAGTTACCGAATCGGTTCTGACTTATAATATAGACTACTTATGATAAATAATTCTAATAGAAAAACTTCAAATCAAATAACAAATAATATAATGTATAAACTCTAATATCATATATCTTTTTTACAATTTGTGAATTTAAACTTGTGTTGACGTTAAGGGCTAAAAAAGGTACAATGTATGATTGGTCCATATACATAAAGATTCATCTGAAAACATGCAGAAATATCACGTGGTCTAGTTAATGTTTTTGGTGGGTACAAAGTGTCGCGTGTGGCTATAAATCTTTGATTGAATAAAAAGCCAAAATACCCAATTTTGGACCCGAGAATATGGAATTCGATTTAAATGGATGGATACACTATGGATAATATCAAACTTTGTTACAGTGTGGACTGTCGAGGCATAAAAGGCCTAAATTGAACATTCTAGGCCTTATTAAAGCCCATTATTAATGGGCTTATAAAATGGGTTATAGGCCCAATAAAAGAACCCGCATATTGAGGGAGGCCCAATAAAAGCCCATTACATGTTTTGACCAGAAACTAAATGCAATTTAAAAAGGTGTTTTGTTTATTGGCCTTCCAAATTAAGATTCTCCATAAAGGTCAAACATTTAAAAAAATCAAAAGATATTAATAGACGATCCCTACCAAAATTTCCTTTTATAAATACAACCAAACTCCTGCACCATAACCCATAAATAAACCCTATTTGCCTCGAGAGATTGGACAGTGATGGAGAAAACTCTTTTGCTTCTTGCAGTGTTGGGTCTCTTCGCTTGCGCTCTTCATGAGGTGACCGGCAGGAACCTTCCGATCGAGACAGAGAGTTTGGATTTCGGGTCTTTGCCCAAGGGCGTCCCCATCCCTCCGTCCGGACCGAGCCATGGGGAGACGCCTCCGGCGTGGAAAATCATCAGTCGCCCGAATTTCGGGACATTGCAGAGAGGACCGGTCCCGCCGTCTGGACCGAACGGTGGCCGACCGAAGTCGTCTCCTTCACCAGCGATCTAGAAAAAAAATTTCAAACTGTTAGATAATAAAATGCGTATGCTCCTTGGAATTTGATAAAAATAAATAAATAAATAAATCTGCAAATCTTATAACCAAAACAATGTGCGAACTGTGATGTTCAATACATGTGGTTTTTCCGACATGGGTCAGAGTTTCGGTTTCACCCAAACTGTTATTCGAATCATAAAATCGCGAAAGTCTTAATTAAACTTGTTAAATTCAGCAACTAAAAAAAATATTTATAAAAACGATTTTTTTTGTTTTTTTTTTAAATATAGTCATCGAATTATACGCTCATCTTCAGTCTTGAACAAATAAAATCGTGGGGACAAATATTTTTTGGACATTGTTTCATCACATGACCAACAAGCAGAATTTACTATGCCCTCCGGCCCCTCCCCATAAATACCTTTTTAGATTTCTTCACAATTCTTTTATAAAAAAAAAGCCATATGTGTACACTCATGAAACCTACATTCCCACTAATACTCTATTAAAATGATATATTTTTAATTAAAAGAAATTATAAATTTTTTAGAAAATCTAAAACGATATCTATTTAGTAACAAAAACATTATTCTCTAGATCTATATTTATTCAAAAACGGGGAACTTATTAAATAGCATATTTTATCATGTGACACAGCGGTATAAAATAGAATTTCATAATACTAAATGCAATAAATTAGCCTGATTATAGGCCTTCAAAATCAAGATTTTCAAGAAAGGTAAAACATGGAAAAAAATCACAACAATAATCACAAGATCTAAATAGATATCAAGAATTGAATAAATGTCCCCCCACCAAAATTCCTCTATAAAATACGACCAACAACCCATAATTAAAACCATAATTACCCTTCAGAGATCGCATGCAAAAGCCTTATCATACGATGAAGAAAACTCTCTTGCTTCTTGTAGCGTTAAGTCTCTTCGCTTGTGCGCTTGAGGTGGTGGCCGGGAGGAACCTTCCGATCGAGACAGAGAGTTTGGATTTCGGGCCTTTGCCCGAGGGCGTCCGTGTCCCTCCGTCCGGTCCGAGCCATAGGGAGACGCCTCCGGCGTGGAAAGTCATCGGTCCCCCGAATTTCGGGACATTGCAGAGAGGACCGGTCCCACCGTCTGGACCGAACAATCCTTCACAATATAACTAGAAAATTATTTTCAGACCGTTAATTAGTATGATTTAGTATATAATAAATTGATCTGTTGCTTGTAGTGTGAAAAAAAAATGTCAATCTCATAACCGAAGCGATGTGCGAACTGTGAAATTCAATCCATGTGCTTGTCGGAATGCATTGAACAGTTTGACTATGTGTACGGGTTTTCCGACAAAGATCATAGCTTCGGCTTCACCCAACAAATTTTTTTTAAAAAAAAAAGTTTAAGAATCCGAATGAAACGACGTCGTTTTAATTAGGGCTTTTTTAATATTTTTTTATCCAATAATTTAAGAATATTAATTAAGTGAAATTTCAACACATTCACAAATGGGCCGTCAACAAACATATTATTATCTACGACTTATGGCCCACTAATGTACCACGTTTTCTCTCTTCCTTATATATATATATATATATATATTATTTTACCAATATGTAGGGCATGTGTAAAGTCTGAAAATTAAAGTACATACACATATATATATATATATATATATATATATGAAGAATCTAATTCATTAATCGTGAAGAATCGAATTCGTACCGTTTATAATAAAATAAAATTTAAAATAAACACAGACGAACTCATTATTTAGCTTTATATCGAATTGGTATCTCTGCCTATAGACGCAATAGAATTCGAGTTCAAATCGGTTTTGATTCTTTAATGTAGTTTGTTATTTTACAAGAAGACAATCCATCATTTAATAAATACGACGTAATGTAACATAATGACGCGAAATGATTGGATATATATATAAATTCTTCTTGGACTTTACGTTATACGTACGGTTTGTTTTTCATTCGACGAACAAAAAAAAAATATGTGGCTATAAATTGGTACGACAACATAACTGTCGGTTGTAACGTTAAAAGCAATGTATGATGTTTACGCAACTAAGCCTGAACCGTCGGACACCTTTTTTTTTTCCCTGACAAAAGAGAACAAGACTTCCAAGGGTCTTGGAACCCATTAGGGTTTTCACATTACGTTATTTATTTTTTTTCTTTGTTTTCTCTGCAGAGCTCGATAATTACAACCGGGATAAAGAATGATCATCGTATACAATTTATAATTCTTCATTTAATTTTCTTATACAATGACTCCCGGCCCATATCATAGTAGAACACCAAGTTTCTTTTTATATCTGTAGATAACAAAAATAAAAACTAAGCTTATATTTACATTTGCATGAACACACTGTATAGCTACGTAGCAGCAAATCTAAATCGCATGGATTTTAATGTTACCGAACCATCATAGTATTTCGGAGTTTGATGTTATACATGAGTATGCCGACCTAAATGGTTGATATAAAAGGTAAATAAAATGCAAGATTATGAAATTATTGTATCGTCCTTTCTTGGATCTATTTGAGTGTCATGATCAAACTAGTCAAAGCCAATAATACGTCAAAAAAGAAAAATAAAATGATAAAAAAATAAATTCGTACACATCAATTTTTCAAATACTCTAAAATAATTATATTTTCCCCCTAGATATAAAGACATAAAGTTGTTTTTATAAAATACATGTTTTTAAAATATTACCAAGTTTTTATCGTAATAATAATAACATTAGCATATGTTAGATTTATAGTTTACTTTTCAAAATAAAAATATTCATATTTTGTTAATCGTTGTTATTTATAAAATATAAATATTTCAATTATTTTGGAAAGTATACGTAAAAAATTTCAAATGATCATTGTACTTATACGAAAATATGCATTTGTTTTGAGAAATTTTTATAACTTGGTATATTTTAACAAATAAAAAAAAACAAAACTAATGGTCCCATAATGAAATTGGTGACGGAACAAGAGAGATTGGTCGGTGGGTTTGGTTCGTTCGTTGAAATGAACAGAAGATTCCAACGACATAAATTAGCAAAACATGATACAAATTGGGCAAATTGTCATATGAAAACAGACCAGACGACGCTTATAACATGGGGACCAAAAAAAGCCCCGGCCGTCGGTCCATGCATCACCCATCCAAGCACGCAATCCTATGACACGTGTGATCCACGTGCCTCCCATCTTCCGATGTTCTGTCCAATTGTTTATTCATTTAACTTCTTATATTATATTTTTTTCGGAAATTGCATAAACGTCCTTCGATTTACCGTTGAATTACATGGGATCACCACAGTACTATTCAACATCTTTCGAGAATGGGAGCAAACCTTTCTAGTAAAAGGTAATAAAAGAGAATTTCCTAATGCATATTCTCGATCACAAGGGCTTGTCTTATTAGCGTCCCTACTTAATTATTAAACCCTAATTAACGTTATATATAATGATATTCAATTACACGCGGGCGCGCGCGCACACACACACACACATATATATATATATATATATATATATCATATCTTAGTTCGAGAAAGCAAATCTCGGATTCTTCGGGCTGTCTCTTTCTCGGTCGGTCTTGTTTCTCTGCTTTTCTCGTAAGCCTCGAAGAACTCTTTGTTCTCCTTTTCCAGTTCGTTCCAAACTGCAAATTCAATATATATATATATATATATATCCGAAAAAATTAAATATATACGCTATACATCTATATATAGTTTTTGTGTGTGGATAAGTTCGGGTTGTCTCTAATTTTACATATTCAAGTTCAGTTTTAATTATGGTTTTGAATTTGGCCGGACATATTTGTTATTTCATTGTTTTTATCATTAATACATGTCTTCATGTTCCAAACGAGCCGTGTGTATCTGTATATATACATGTTTATATATGCTTGTGTATACGTGTGCGATACGTGTCAACCCAATTACATTGACAACAACCCTTTGCGTGTGAACGAGATTTCCAATGTAAGATGGTATATACAATGATAAAAGAACTGCAATAAATTAACATTAATAGCAACCATATACGTATTTGTGTGTGTGTCTATATATATGTTTGTATATATACGTATAGATATTACGCACCCGTGGAAGTGACGACTGGTTCGATGTTTGCATGCTTGGATAGAGCTTCCATGCACTCTTCCTTGCCCATGTTGAATAATAAACACTCTTCTATCAAGTGATGTACCTGCTTCACATATGTACACGCATACATCAATATATATATATATATATATATGTATATATACATTCAATATTATATATAAGGAGACGCCACATCAACAAATCAAGACTCGTTCAATTCATATAATCACACAACCGGTGAAATAAACAAGCGGTGGATATTAGTAGATATACAAATCTTACCAGATGGATATACGAAGCAGGCGAACTATGATCTCCTTCACCCATATGAATATCGCCAAAAAAAAATAATTTTAAGAACTGTATGGCTTTATATATATATGTGTGTGTTATTGTGATTATGTATATATCAAAATCAAATAGTTATGTGTGATTTCTAATGGTTATGCATACAGAGAGAATAGGTGGAAGAGAAATAGAAAAGAGGAGAAGAAGGAAGAAGAATATTAGGGGAGGTGACACGGAAAAAGGAAAAAGATGAATACTATTTTATAGTAAGACAGAATAAAATATCCAAAAAAAGAAACCTGTATTTTATATATATATATATATATATATAAGTACAATACAAAGTTTATAAAAGCTTTAAAAAATATTTAATTTAAAATTTCGTAGCAATTATTAGAATACAAAAAAATATAGAAAAACACAATGAATTCATAAAATCAGGTAAATTGAAATAAAAAAACTCTATTAATTATCAACATATTAATTATGTATAAATGTTTGAATATACAAAAAGAAGCTAATCAATCAAATGCCAAAAAGATATTTAAATAAAGGCTACCTATATTGGCAATGCATAACATAATGGGCTATCGAGCCGACGTGCTGGTTGTGGGACCCATATTCCACGTGGGCTTTGCCTTACGATTGGCTGATCGGAGATTAGAACAGATTTTACTAAGCACCTCCCCTCATCCCTATGCTTACGTGGCCCTGGCCCAATGACCACGTGAAGTCTGGCCCACCTTTTTGAAACATTACTAATAATGTTATAAACTTATAATTATTCCATGTTTTCTTCGTGAATATTTATAATCATTCATTATATTTGCTAGCAACTTGTTTCAAATTGAATTCACGTGAAAACTGTTACATGCTAATAATAGCCAATGAGAGTGAAAGCATAGCTTTATTGGATTGTATTTTATTATACATATACTTAATTTTACTCTACCAATCTTCAATGAGTTTTAAATAATAATCAGTCATGCCCTTTGCATGAATGAATTATTAGGTACCCAATCTGCATGATAAGCTGATTTCAGTAACCAAAACGGTCTTAGAAAATTAGTTTTCAAATATATTATTATTATTCTTTTGATAATCCAAAAATTAATCATAACTTCGTATCAACTTACATCTCTCAACACATAGAAAAAAATCATGTAAATGTCCATCCCGAATTGAATACTAATTCTAGTTGAAAAAAAAACAACTTTGTCATGTCTCTTATATGTTGATCTGTCTATCTTAGTAAGACAATATTCAATTATAATCTTCTAGATGTTCTTGGTACACAAGGCAATATAGATACACATAAATACTAGCTAGTGTAAACAAATGTAAAATAAAAAAAAAAAAACACAACAGTTGATGGTCCAGTGATTGAGAGGTGACAACGTCATCCTCAAATTTCTGGGTTCGATTCCACTGGTGGAGAGGTATATAATTTCTGGACCAAAATGGTCTATATACAAAGACTGGTCTCGGATCTAGGGTAGATATAGCCGGATCGAAGGTTTGGAGAACCATTCTGGTTATAAAAAAAATGTAAAATAAAAACGTAAAAAAAATCCACACAACGTTTTCAGAATATTCATTTTGTTTTCGATATGTTTTGCATTCAACTTTTGAAAAGAAAGGTAAAATATATAATATATTGAGGTGTTTAGAATTTTAAAAGAAAATATAACGTAAATATAAATATAGAGAAACAACAGGAAGGGTATTGGGACGACGTAAAGTAGATTTCCAAATGGTCGAAAATAACAAGACTCTACTGAACTGTACTTTGGAGTTTCCCACTTATCCGGAAGTTGTCAGGTTTCATATGTTCGAAAACAGTACGTAGTTGGTATGTGTTTACGTCGAAAACCCTTATTGGGAATCCACCATGTGCAACTGTCTGCATGCTTCACGAGAAATATCATAATATATATGTGTGTTTTGTGGAATTTGATATTAAAAAGAAATATAATTAATTAACATTGAATGAGTAAATATCACATAATTTTAATTAATTAAGATATACGTTGTTTCTGTAGTATACGTGTATAAAAACTACACATCATATATACGTAAATATTACATTTTTTTTGGAGCAAATTTATGGGTTTAAAGATATATATTAGAAAATATCCGTGAAACCGCTCATCACATCGTATAAAAACGTCCTTTTCTTATTTTAAGCATATGACAATTACCTATATATTTTCCTTTTATAGATACTTTTCTTTTTAGTTTTTACGCTCACCCTTAATGGGCCATATTATAATTATATAATATTGGTTCATATTATTAATTCATCCATTTTGCTACGGCCCATAAAAGCCCACATCATCCGCAGCCTGCGGTACGAGACAAGATCTGAACCGTACAATATACCAATCGACGATGGGGGATGCCACGTCATCGATCCGTGTTAATGTTTCACCAACCAATAATAGTCGTTCCATCACCGATATAAATACCGGACCGTACGTGTCCTCCGTTGTCGATTTTCTGTTGCTCTCGCGCGAAATCCATTTTTGTTGCGATCTGTTCGAAAATGGCGCCAAAGGCGGAGAAGAAGCCGGCAGAGAAGCGGCCGAAGGCGGAGAAGAAGATAGAGAATGAAGGTGGGATCGAGAAGAAGAAGAAGAAGGTGAAGAAGAGCACAGAGACTTACAAGATCAACATATTCAAGGTTTTGAAGCAGGTTCATCCTGACATCGGAATCTCCAGCAAGGCCATGGGGATCATGAACAGCTTCATGAACGACATTTTCAAGAAGCTTGCTCAGGAAGCCTCGCGTTCGGCTCGGTACAACAAGAAGAGCCGACGATCACCTCCCGTGAAATTCAGATCGCAGTTAGGCTTGTCTTGCCCGGCGAATTGGCCAAACACGCTGTGTCGGAAGGAACCAAGGCTGTCACTAAGTTCACCAGTTCTTAAACGACGCCGAATTGTTCCGATCTGATTTTGTTTTTTTTTCTCCGCAAGCAATCTGTTCTTGAGATTTAGCCACATACATAAACAGAAGACAACATTTTTTTTTTCTTGCCCATCATCACTTTTCCCTGGAAGTGAAATTAGGGTTTTTGTTCCTACTGATGATCCTTGGTTCAATCAACGTTTGGATGATTTCAAGCATTCGGACCATCCTGATGATCCTTGGTTTTTTCTGCCACATACAAATTTTATGTCTTTACACACAGTGAAACTTTTAGGGTTTTGGGTTATGAGACAAACATGGAACACAGACGCGCCAATGAATTATTCAGAGCTGTGTTAACGTGAATCATTCGTAAGCATCACATTCTAAATTGCGGATCTTGTTTGGTTCCCGAGAAAATGAAGTTCTGTCAATGGCAATGTGCATATCTCAACGTGGTTCCCGAGAAAATGTATCGCTATACCCAAGGGAAATTTGGCGTTTGATATTTTTGCAAACGAGGTTGGGTTGTTAATGTGAGGAATATCAGCCGTTGGATTGGAGATAATCGGCGGCTGGGGATCGATTAGTTGGCGATCGCGTGGATATATTTTTTCCGTCTGGAAAATTACAAAATAAATTTTTAAAAATTGAATAGAACTAAAGTTAATAAAAAATTTTGTATTTTTAAAAGATCCAAAATACAATCGAATATAATGGAATCGAATCCAAACCGATTATCCACTGTCAGATTATACCATTAAAAAACAAATCACAGCATTAAATATATATTATTGGTGTAAACGAATAAATATATAATATTGGTGATTAAATTTAAGGCCAAGCCCATCAGGCCCATAATCAAAATCTTAAAGCCCACAAGGTACGCATTTACTGTTCAGATGCGGCCCATTGTTTTATGTCAGCAAAGTTACAATGATATTATTTTATTTTTATTTTTTATTTTTTGTTTTTGGTAAATATTACCTTAGATTGTTTGGTAGAGGTGGACACTTTAGGCTTTGATTACGCCTAGATTTTATTCCCCTAACATTCCTTTTTTCAAATTTCAAGAATAAAAAATTATTATTTTCCCTAAAATATATGTACATCATAAATGCTGGATAACCCAAAAACAGAAAGGGCGCGCATATGGAAAAACAAGTATACTACTAAAAATAGAATTTTTTATCTACAGATTTAATGTTCTTGATAGGATTTTCTTAATATGTCCACGCCTCTGAACTTATATAGGAAAAAAAAATATGGGATAAGATTTTGGACTGTCCTCATTTGGACCAAATGGATTTTTAGATAATAAAAATATACTAATCATGTTCATAATTTCCTTAAATTCCAATTATCATCTCACTTGGTTTCTAGAGAATCGAACTGTAATTAAATTGTAATTCTTTTAAATAACAAATATATACAGAAATCCATGTATAATAATTGAATATACGTTTGTACAATAATGGGTCATATGAGATCATGACAACTTAAATTCAATGAGACTGACATGGAGACATGAGTCCTCTCACATGGGAGAGAAATGTCTGTCCTCTCCGGAAATAAAGTGGGTTTAATTTAATGCAAAAGCTTATCTAAAGTTTTTAATGTAATGTCAGACCATTATTTTGTTTACCCGTCAAATGCAATGAACTTTGATGGTTATTATCATTATTTTGTTTTTTTTGCATTTAATTGGAAATTTTTACAGTTATGATTTTATATGACCAACAAAAAAAAATATCGTTCTAGACCTATTATTACATTCCCCACATGGCCTCATCCACCCCAAATTACTTTTCCTTTTCTTGCAAAACTATTACATAAAGACATAATTCCTTTTTTTTACCATTTTTGAAATAAAATATTACTTCAACCCATAATATGTAATTTATTATCAAATCCGGCAAGAAATGATATATATATATATTTTATTAAATTTATTTTTAATTGAATTTGACTTAAAATTTAAATACGAATTTAAAAATCAAATGGAAACGAATTTCGCTTTACAAAAATAAATTTGTGAATGGAAAACTGAATTCAAATTAAAATATAAAAATAATTCGAATACACAATGGATACAAAACCGTGTCCCAAATGAAAGTGAAATACGTTAAAAGAGGTAAATAATATGGATTTAAAAACTGTTTGCACTTGCAAACAGTTTTTAAGAAAATAGTTTCAATACAGTGGGTAGAAAATAATGGCATAATATCCCGTGGTTATAAAATCTTTTTTAGCATTTTTTTAAATAACGTTAATAACACATAATCTATAATTTATAACACTCTATATAATTTAAATAAAATGGATTAAACTGGTTAGTATGGATTTTTGTTATTAGTTTAAATAACGTGGATTGCTTGCAATCTATGATTTAAAACATTCCAAATCGTATGAAGAATTTTTTTGTTCAAATAACATGGATTACATGAGATATTCTTTAAACATCCCACAGTTTATAATTTTTTTTATTCATTTAAATATTATGGACTGATACATGTAGTTTATGTGTATAATTTATTAAAATATTAGAATTGTTAATACAATCTACATTCTCTTAAAAAATTAAATAACTTGGATACCACTCACTAACAAATCCTAAATAATATTTATTCTATGATTTAGATAATAAGCATTATATATATTCTACAATTTAAAATTTCATTATAAAATTTTACGATCTGATTTATGATTTTAGTTTTAGTAAAATATTATTATGTCATTGGCATTTTTTCAATTATAATCCATACTCTTTTAAGGAAATTTAATTTCGAGATATCATATAATAATAAATCTCAAAATTTTGTAAACTTAAATATCGTAAATAATATGTACTCTATAATTTAAATAACAAATATGTTATAGAATCTACAATTTCAAATTGTATTAAAATATTAAAAAAAACAGTTTATAATTTTTAAAATATTATCGATATTGAAAAATAATAATAATGTAAAAATAATGATAAATATAATACATTTTTAGATAAAAATAAGTTATCGTAGATAATACGTAATCTATCATTTATATATGTAATACGTACACGGTTTATAAATTTAAATTTACTAAAATATGATGATTTAATTTATATATTTCAAATATAATCTATATTTTTTGAATAAAATAAACGATAAAATAACAAATTCCCGAATCTTTTATATAAATGTAAATAACGTAAATAACACGTAATCTATGGTTTAGATATCCCGCGAAAATTATATTTAAATGTTCCCGCGAAAACTATATGAATCAAAACATAGTTTTAAATTGTGAAAGGGAGAAAGAAACAAATATTTCAACTTGCATTTCAAAACTTAAATAGCTCACAAACCCAACAATTTACTGTCCCAAAAAAAACACACACACAATATACAAAGGTGAATGTGATCTTCATTTTCGAACCAATTCTCCTCAAATTGTAAAAAAGGAATAATTTGTTTTAAGAATTCTTTATTCACCATATGTTCTTTTGTATATAATATAATATATATTATATATAAAAATATATAAATAAAAATCACGAAAACATATAAACAGAGGGAGATAATTTGGAGAGAACCCACATACCCAGGATTCGGATAATCACTGTCTACCTAACACGTTTTCACATCCCCTTTATAAGCACCACTCTTCTGCCCTCACTCCTCACTCGCTCCTCTCTCAGATTCTCTCTCTCTCCCTCTCTCTCTCTCTCTCGATCTCTTGTCTGAATCCGAAGCTGCCATGTCGGAAAGACCGAGAATACGTCACCAGAGGAGGCCCTCTCAGAGTGTCTTCCAGTTCGACCTGTCGGAATCCGACCTCTCCAACGGCGTCTGCCATCCGCCTCCACCCGCCGCCGCCGCCGCTCCTCCTCCGCCGCCGCGCAACCAGGTCCCTCCGCCGCACGCATCTCCTCAGGCGCCGGGGGTTCCTGACCGCAACAATGCCCCGACGGATGACCAGAAGATCAATGGATCAGCGTAGTTAATTAATAATTAATTACCCATATTCACCTGTCCTTTAATATGATCCTCAGATCATATATATTTTCCCTGTTTTTCGGCATAATAATAAGGTTTTATCCATCTCATAATATGGATCAGTGGCAATTTGTAATGCTTTTCATGTTTAATTAAATCTCTGTTCACCTTCTTCTTCTTCTTATTCTTATTTTTTCCCCTTTAATTTTCTGCTTGTGAGCGTCGAATGAAGAACACTGAAAAACGACTAGCTTTTAAAAAAAAATGATTTACATATAAATTAATATTTTTTTAGATTTCCTTTACCATCGATCTTACGTTTACGCAATTTTGTTTCGTGTTTGTAAATCTATCAATTAATGGCTTCATTAGATCAATACACCGGTCGAGATTTCGAGTTTTGATTATATTTTATAATATAGTGTTTCTTGATTCTTTGGTTTCATTATATTTTTTTAGATTTCGAATTTTTCTAATATAGTGTTTAGTTTAATAAGATTATATTTTATATAATTTTATTGTCTGATTTAAGTGGAATTTGATTTTGATTGTCTTAAAAAGAAATTGGCGTTTCTTGATTCTTTGATTATTTTCATATTTGATTTTGAGTTCTATTCATTTTTAGATAAATTTATTTTTATATGGTATCAAATTCATATTGATCATATTATATCGATTTGATTCCATAGGTTCTTATAGTAAATAATTTTTTAGAAAATTTAAATTTATTTTATTTTAAACGCATGATAATAGACATTGGAAATCATAGTCAAAACAATATAAGGATGCTTGTCCTAAATTACCAGATCCGGAAACTTAATTTCAAAAGAAAAAAAACAATAATTGAATTACTAGAAGAAAACAAACACATGTAGACCTATTTATTCTCTCTATAGTTTTTTAATTTTAACACGTGGAAATTATATGATTTTGTAAAATCATGTTTTTTTTATAATAGTATACCACTAATTTTATTACATAAATAATTGTATATATATATATATACACAACTTTTTCCTTTTCAGAGAACAAAAACTACTCTACTACAGGTAAAACCAATTCATGCAATAAACTAGTATAAACATTTTTTTATTTTTTAATTATAAATTTTGTAAGCTGTATTCCAGAAATGGAAAATAATCTTATTTTTCCATTTTGCACAAACAAACTAAATAGAAAATGATGATACTACTATACATTAAATTAAGAAATATAAAAAAAGGGACTCTCTGGGTCGAAAATATATCACGAATTTCTAAAAAATGTAATTTCAAAATTAAAATGATTAGTGAAAATGTTGTAAAAAAGTAAAAATATTTTGTGGATCCAATTTTCTTGGGGGAAATTAAATGGCGAATCAAAGGAGAAGATTCCATTGGGGTTCACAGTGACGCAGGTTTTCATGCATTTCTCTTTATAAGTTTTGTAAAATTAATATAATTTATGCGACCCAAATGTACTTTTCGTCACACATTATTATTATTATTATTATTATTTACTAAGGTGCAATTGAAATTCCATCATTAGATAATTTGACAAACCGCCGCGGTGAAATATGATTTATATATGAAAATATATAGTAATATAGAATTGGCATGATATACTGTATATATATATATTGAAAATCTTTAATACATTTATAATATAATTTGAGGAATAAAAATAAGCAACAAAACATATGAGAGCAATGTAAGGAGCCATTAACGTTCTCACATTCACATGGGAAAAATATGTTTTAATGTGCTCAATCGTTTTCACCGTACTTGCAAGTTATCTAATCTAAAGGTAAATCTAGAGATCTTACCACTTGTGTCGTGCATACGTACATATATATATATATGTATATATAACCGAGATGATGACAAAATTGAAAAATTGGATAACCATAGGATTCAATGAATATGGTATATAAAATTTTGTTTAGATCAAGATGATAAAATGTTTTTGTTTATTTATATAATCCCTCGATTTTTGAGTATTTGATGGGAAACTAAAGAATATAAAAGCAAACATGAAAAGCAAAAGCAACAACAACTGAATTAAATATTCATTTGACTTTTGCTTTCTGTAATTTTTTGATTGAATAGTCAAAATACGTTACGTCGTACGCACATATTATGTATAAAAATATTTCATATGATATATTTTATGCTTACTATTTTTGTTTTAATTATACAAAGCTTCTTTGGAACAAATAATATTAATATTAGTATGTGCCCGAAAAAGTAAAAATAATTTTAAAAAAGGAACAAAATAATAATAATTTTAAGTAGAAACTATTTATTTAAATATTTTGGGTTTTAATAAATTGAAAGAACAAAAACAAAAACAGAGGGAAAAAAATCCAAGAAGATAACACGGGAACTATCGCCACGTGGTGCATGAGGAAAGGCCGAAAGGGGTTGCGTTGGATTGACGCTAGGACAGTACTTCAGAATCTTTTTTAATGGGCCCAGGCCCAACTAATCCATACCATGTCGTCCACGAGCTAAAACTATATATATATATATATATATATATAAATTAAATTGATTTTTTTTAAAAAATTTGGTTTTTTACCATAATCTTTTTTTTTTTAACGTTTGGAAACCACCTCGACCCTTCGGACCGGACACCGCAACACCTTGCAGTTCAAAGGCCGGACGGATGACACGATATCGCGGACAGTAAACCCACGTGGCCCCACGCAATAGCCGACAAATCACCGGAATAGATAAACCAAACGAAACTGATCGATTCAAGGAGGCGTTCAGACACTTGAGATTTCGAACTCTCCACCCCTAGGTATTGAGTTGTCATTAACCACTGACTTGGGAACTTCCTCAAAGAAATTAAAAAAGAAAGGAAAATGAGTGCAACACGAGGACTTCCCAAAAGACCACCAATCTTAATACTATTCTCACCTAAATACGTTTAATCGTGGAGTTCTATTGGAATCCGATTCATTAGTACTGATATGATCTTTGTCAAACCATTTCTTGTTTACTAATATAAAATTGAAAAAATATATTGGCTTTATTGCCTATAAAAAATGTGTAATGTGGATGGGAATGATGATAATAATATCATGCAAGAATAATAGACCAATGCTTTAAACATATGTTATGATTTTATTTAGCTTGAATATTCGTCCATATTCTTTTACATTACACCATATTCAAAAGAAAAGGCCGGAGAACCAAAGAGTGCATTGCTGACGTGGCGACACATGATTCGTTCATCATGATTGTGCACGCTACGCTTCGTCGCATGGGATCATCCGTGCTCACAAAACCCGCTGCCCGCATATAAAAACTGCACCGCTCCCTCTGGAGGCGATATTTTTTGCTTTAGTGTCTTCGTGAGAGTTTCGTTGTTTCTCGCAAGATTCTCTACGCTCCTCTCGATTGCAACGCGTCTAAGGGAAAAAAAAAGAATAAGAAATGGTGAGTTCTTCTTTGATTCTCTGTTCATATCGGTTTTCTCTGTGAATCTGTGATGTTGTCGTTTTCTCTTCGGTGCTGTTTTGTTGCTGAGAAAATCGCCTGGAAATTGCGTCGGTTTCGCTATCTGTCCCTGGAAGTTCCTTCAGCGATCGGATGGATCGTTTCATTCTACTTGTCTTATTTGCACGCGTTCTTAGTTTCTTGATCTTTCTTGTTGGTTTCTGCTTGGTTGCCGAGAAAATTCTCTGGTTACTTTGCCTGTATTCTGGATTTCTGGTTATGGTTTTCTGCAAGATCATCCGGGAATCAAGTCGATCGAACTGTTCCACTTCCATTTTCTGTTGATGCGGTAACAAAGTTTTGGCTGTTTCAGTTATCGTGATCGAAGTGAATTTCCATGGTTAACTCTTCGTCTGCTGTATTTTAGCCAGCGGATCATTTCGAGGCTTTTCTGTTGTTGATTTAGTTTCCCCAATTTTATCTTGAATTTGCTCTCAATCTAGTGATTGGTTAGTGATTGTAGCAGATGCAATGCTTGATTTTTCTATCTTAGGTTTGTTGGTGAAGCTTGTATGCTCATTTTGATTCGGGTTAACTCGTAATTCAGAGTCACGTTCACAATAGTTTGATTGGGTGAAAGCTCTAGATCTGTTTTCCACAACGGTGTTGTTTTGATTTGTGTGAATCACCTATACAATGATGCAGGGTAATCACGAGAAATGTTAGTGGCAATGATTGTTTGAACAACAACAAGAACATATCCATGACTAGTATTCAGTTAGGATAATAATATCGAGTATAGTTCATTGTAGAGTCTGATTAGCATTGGATCCGTTGATTGTCGTCGATATAATATAACAAGCCCAATGTTGTTCGTCCTTAGGCAAATGCTGTGTCGGGCATGGCTGTTCATGATGAGTGCAAGCTCAAGTTTCTTGAGCTGAAGGCGAAAAGGAGACACCGCTTCATAGTTTTCAAAATAGAGGAGAAGCAGAAGCAAGTAATGGTGGAGAAGGTGGGGGAACCCCCCCTCGGATACGAAGATTTCGCAGCAAGTCTTCCATGGATGATAGTCTGTGTTCTAAGTTGCCTGTGTGATGAGTGTTGTAGTTTGAGTCTCGGAGGAGTATCGTAGGATTGGGATTCTGACTCTTTTTCACACTTTAATGTAGGTTTGTTAACAGCTAAAAACGTGGATTCGGACCGATCTAGAGGTCGGACGAATTCGAAATTCTATGTAAACAATTGTAGGCGGTACCTGAGGTATAGTCTTCCACAAGAAGAAACTGAAGTACTTTAAGAACTCTGCAAACCATGTTCCATAATGGTCAGAAGTAAGAAATAAGAAATGAAGGTTGTATGTGTATGTATGTGTCTATATGCATGTATTTGCGTGTGTTTATGCATTATCCTGCTGATGAGTGCCGATATGCAGTCTATGACTTTGATTTTGTCACAGAGGAGAATTGCCAGAAGAGCAGGATCTTCTTCATCGCTTGGTATTTCTTCCTCTTCTTCACAAGCAACCGACCAAGATGAGAGCTTTATTGATGCCGGGGATCATCTCATTAGTTTTTTTTTTCCATTTGTATCGGTATCTTTTCATTCTTTTGTATTGTAGGTCGCCTGATACATCAAGGGTGAGGAGCAAGATGATATACGCCAGCTCCAAAGACCGATTCAAGAGAGAACTCGACGGTATCCAAGTCGAATTGCAAGCTACCGATCCAACAGAAATGGGCATCGATGTCATCAAGAGCCGTGCCAATTAGCTCAAACAGCCTTTTTCCAAACGAAAGAATGGAGGGCTTCTTTTACAAAAACCCGGTATTCTCTACTTCTATGGCAACTATAGCCTTCATGGGATGATGATGATGATGATGATGATCATGGTGATGATGTTAGAGCTGTGGTGATACTCTACTCATATATATATATATATATATATCCATGTTTCGATGGTCTATTCGCTATATAATGTGACCTGTCGGGGGGTTTGCACCTTTTTTGATTATGAAAGCCTGTGAAACTGTTGCGGACAAACTCTCCCTTTGGTTTCTTTTATCATTTTGCCGTTGTGTATGGTTTATCTTTTGATTCTGTTCTACCTCGTATAGTATTTTTAAGACCCAATGATTGGTATTTTTTTAAAATAATTGAATATTGAAGATCACCAATTCATTATTATGAAAAATAATAAATATATTTCTACTTGACTTGTGCATGGGCCAGTTTGTGGGCGGCAAAGCTTTGCAAGCCCATACACGTTTAGCCCAAAATTTTAACCGGGTCGTCGGTTTGCAAAACCGGGTCGGTTTAAAGGACATCTCGACTCCAGGATTAATTTTATCGGCAGCCAAACAGTGCGGTTTTCAAATTTCCGCTACGAGAAATTGATTCATTTCTGCGGAAGATCCAGCATGGACTGTGGGATCGAGGAGGGATCGGCGTTGCTCGGAGGCGACCGGAGGAGCTATACGAGGGATGTTCATATCCTCAGCGTTTCCTTCTTGCTTATCTTCCTCGCCTACGGTGCCTCTCAGAACCTCCAAAGCACCCTCAACAAGGTCATCACCATCCGAGTTCTTCATTTTCGAGTCGCGAGTTGATTTTCCATTGCTATTTCTGCTTTAATTGATGAGAATTTTGAAACATGACTGAGATCTTTCCTTTCTGTAGGTTCCGTTGATTTTTTTCCCAATCTGATCGATACGTTTTGAGTTACGGTTGATGTTTCCGCTGCTATTTCTGGTGTAATCGATAAGTATTAGGATGATACTTTTCGAGAAAGAATGCCTGAAATTTACCCTCGTCTAATTATCATGATCAAGGGGATAGATAATGCAATGTGTTTTTGAAATTAATTATCTCTGGTTGTGTTGATTTTTTATTTAGGAATTGGGAACAATCTCTCTTGGGATATTGTATTTGTCCTTCACGTTCTTCTCCATGGTTGCGTCTTTTGTTGTCCGGTTGATTGGCTCGAAGAACTCTCTGGTTCTGGGAACCACTGGCTACTGGCTCTTTGTTGCTGCAAATCTGAAGCCTTCATGGTACTGTCTTATGTTATCTTGTCTTAATGAAATAATGGTGTTCAACTCCTCTTCATGGAATACTGGTGTTGGAGCAGTAGCAGGCTCATGCTTCGAATTGATTTTTGTGGCCTTTGCCTCGAAGTTTCTTCATATGGTTCTCCAATTCAATATTCATGAACATAAAAGTCCCCATTTCGACTTTCTAATTCTTCGTTTGCAGTTGATCATGAAGTGTATGTCTGGCGTTCTATACCTAAACATATTTGTGTACTCAAAAGATTGCTTTTCTTGGCATTGATTTTTGTTCTAGGCTTACCATGGTTCCAGCCTCTCTGTACCTTGGATTTTCGGCTTCAATAATATGGGTTGGGCAGGTGCAAGTGCATATTCCCTTTCCTTTGTTTTTTCTTATATTGATTTGGTCACTAGATCTTCTTACACCCCCCTTTCATCCAGGGAACTTACCTCACTTCTATCGCGCGAAGCCATGCTAAGGATCATGGTTTGCTTGAAGGACCAGTACTTGGTATCTTCATGGGGGAATTCTGGGCCATGTTTGCCTGTCACCAGGTGCATACATGATGGAATGCTGCTATATTTTTTTAGTCTATTCTGCTCCTGATGAATTCCCTGTGAATCTACTTGTAGCTGTTTGGGAATCTTGTCACGCTTGCATTACTAAGAGATGGAAAGGTATGTCCTGTTTGCTTGTTAATGGTACCCAGTATAATCTGCATGTCTCATTGTTATCTTGATCTTGTTGCTGCTGGTTTCTTTGTTGCTGACCTTTTGACCACATTAAGCACTCTTTTAGTGTGCAGTTGCACTTGCATTTCCCTACTGCTTGTATAAAAGGACCAACCTAGTTCGTATCTCCATCTAGTGGGGGTGTTGGGGAAGGGAATATACTAGGCCACCTTGCCCCTACATTTTAATTTAGAGAGATGGATTCGAATCCGCGACCTCAGACCCCACGGTAAATGGTTTTACCGCTGAGCCAAGTCGGCCCTTCAGAGAGATGGATTCCTACTGCTTGTATGAGAACACCAAATTCGAATGTTTTATCTTGGCGAAGTATATGATGTGGCAGAACCGTAAACCTGCATTTCCTCTTATAATTTATAGTTCCTGCATTCATTAGATAACTCCATGTTCTTTTCATCAATGTGAAGGAAGGAAGTACCAGCAGCACATCCTTATTGATGATGGTGTTTCTCTTCAGTATGACATTGGGCACGATATTGATGTTTTTCATTAAAAAATGTGAGACAGAAGATGGAAGAGAATCTGAGGGTTCTTCTGTTGGTTTCTGCGACTCTCTAGTTACCTTGCCAAGAATGATAATTACTCCTTTGCTTGACATACGGATGTTATTGATCATCCCACTTCTTGCATATTCAGGATTGCAATCGGCATTTGTTTGGTATGTTTCTCACAAATTTTAAATTCACCACTCTTTACATTGCAAGGATAGCATAAATAAGTATTTGTTTGACTAGGGCCATCAGCTCATTTATGTTGAAAAGATGGCCTTATATGAAACTTATGACCTATTTAGTATTATCCTTCCATTCACATTTCAACCTTTAGTTCTACCTTTATCTGACTGCCTCTTCCAGACAGCAAATGCAACCAAATCTTTTCATGTTTTCAGCTGTTCATGTATCAAATACATTTCATTCTATATGGACTACCATATCTTTCTTCTGTTAGGGCTGAATTTACCAAGGATGTTGTCACACCGGCAATTGGTGTCTCAGGTGTTGGAGGTGCCATGGCAGTCTATGGAGCTTTTGATGCGGCTGTAAGTATGAATGGGAAAAATCGAAAGAACACATTTAGCTAATAGAAATTCTGATTTATGTGAGTTATGCGAGATTGAATCTAGTTTATGTCATAAACTTATTGCAGTGTTCAATAACTGTTGGACGATTTACCTCTGGTCTCTCATCAATCACCTTCGTAGTTTTTGGTGGAGCTGTTGCTCAGGCTGCTGTGTTCGTTTGGCTTCTTCTTGGATACAGGTTCATTACTTTATGTTTCTTACCATAATCTATCTTTCAGTTGTCAAAACTACACCCAACTGCATGATATGGGGATGCAATACCTGCGAGACACGAATAGAATACTTTAGGCTCCAAGGCAATTGTTTGGATTACGGCGCTTTAGGAGTTCTTTGTACCGTCGGAAACGCATTCAACCAGCAATGTCCTTTTGAGGCCATTGCTTTTCCGTTTTGTTTTAAATGTCCATGAAATCACAGGAGTAATTCTTATGAGTTAGTTCCAAAATTTCCAAGATTCGTTTAGGTGACAATATAGTGTTGCAATACGCAGGCTAACTAATGGAGTACTCGGCACCGTGTACCCACTTCTGATGGCGGCCATACTAGGCATTGGTGATGGAGCTTTAAAGACTCAAATAAGCGCTCTTCTTGGGTTGGTCTTCAAGCATGACACGGTACTATTGCTCATCTAACTGATTTCACCCTCCAAAACGCACAGCACGGACATGTTTTTCACAGATTGTCCGGTTCTGGACACAGGAAGGAGCTTTCTCACAGCTAAAAGTGTGGGAGAGCGCGGCAATAGCAACAGTTTTCTTCCTCAGCCCCTACTTATCGCTGCAGGCCATGCTCATAATCTTGCTCATCATGCTATGCCTTTCGATTGTTTCTTTCCTCTTTTTAACTTTTCAGGTAGAGGGAATGTACAACCACAGCGAAAGCCAGTGAATGAATCACCAAACTCAATAGTAAGTTGTTTGTTCGCATAGTAGCATAGCGTCTATGAAAATGTTGTGATGGAATTTGGAGAACCAAGATACATAGTGAAGCAAGACACAACTGTTTAAACCGATTTGGAACCGGGTGGGGAGTAGTGGGGAATCTTGCTGGAGACCGAGTTGATAAGCTTGACGCTGAAATCCCAAAGCTTCTGAGCCAGAGATTCGTCTCTGGCTAATTTGCTGGGGGTGACTTCATTGCAATCTGCAAAGTATTTTCCTGTCACTCCTTTCAAACTAGGATGCAGAGCAACATAGCATGTCGTAGCTGCCCCCTGTTTGTGATTGGCATGAGAAAAATAGGTTCCAGAAAAAGAAAAAAAAACCCAAAAATATATTCTTTGTAAGGGAATATAATCGACCAGTGTTACGAGATAGGATTGAAGTATTGCATTGGTTGTTATAAACTTGTCGGTTTTGACCTAATTCCTAAATCACTGAGTATAGTTAGACATTTTGTTTCTAGAGGAAGAGAATGGATGATAGTCTGTGTTCTAAGTTGCCTGTGTGATGAGTGTTGTAGTTTGAGTCTCGGAGGAGTATCGTAGGATTGGGATTCTGACTCTTTTTCACACTTTAATGTAGGTTTGTTAACAGCTAAAAACGTGGATTCGGACCGATCTAGAGGTCGGACGAATTCGAAATTCTATGTAAACAATTGTAGGCGGTACCTGAGGTATAGTCTTCCACAAGAAGAAACTGAAGTACTTTAAGAACTCTGCAAACCATGTTCCATAATGGTCAGAAGTAAGAAATAAGAAATGAAGGTTGTATGTGTATGTATGTGTCTATATGCATGTATTTGCGTGTGTTTATGCATTATGTGTGTATACAATGAAGGTTGGGAACATAAAGGGCATACTCATTAAAAGGGCAGTGTGTTGGAAGAGATTGGTGAGGATGAGGCCTGGGTGCACTGAGTTCACTGTGATGTTCACCCCCTCTTCCTACCAACACATTTCAATCAGTTGTTCTGATATATTTTTTTTAACATTTAGAATCACATATATATATATATATATATGTATGTATTATAAAAAAAAAGAAATTTAAAATGTGGGGAGATGCACCTGAAGCCGACGAGAGAGCTCTAGGGCGTGCAGTATGTTCGCCAATTTAGATTGCCCGTACGCTCTCTTGTCTGAGTAGCTGATGCATTATTATGCATAGAGATCATACAAAATGGATATATATATCGACAAATGTTTTGTACTTTGAAAATAATGGAGGAGAAAACCTACCGGGAAACGTCGTTAAGGCTGTCGAAGCGGAGACCGTGAGGGTAAGTGAAGTTGTGTGCAATGGATGAGAGATTCACAATCCTTCCTTCGACGCCACTCTCTTTTGCTGTCTTCTTCATCTTCTCTAGCAGCAAGTTTGTCAATAGGAAGTGACCTATGCATATATATACACATGCATATATTCAATTATTCCAAATTACAATTTACTCAATAAAATAAAATACAAATGAATAAAAGAAAACATAATGGAACCGATGTGGTTTGTAGCAAATTGCAGCTCTATTCCATCTTGAGACAGTTGGAACGGACAGAACATTATCCCTGCATTGTTTCTGTAACACACAACGGCGTATCTGTTACGACCATTAAATATATCCATATACATATATATATATATATATATATATATATATATATGTACACACACATAAAGAGAGAGAGAGAGAGATTTACATGAGGAGGTGGAGAGGGAGATGAAGGGAATCGAAGTCGCGGACAAAAGATCCGACGGAAGAAACGGAAGAGAGATCGAGGTGGAGGACATGAACACGTGCGGAGGAGTTGTGTTTCAAGATCTCTCTCTTGGCGGCTTCCGCAGCTCCCACGTTCCTGGCTCCAATTACAACATGTGCTCCTCTCTTCGCCAATACCCTCGCTGTCTCCAATCCTATTCCCGCTGATCCACCTGTTTAGTTTTTTTTTTTATTATTTAAAAATTTATTATAAAATATCTTCTTGGTATGTTAATAATATCGACGAGACACGTGGACTTTATCGTATATATGATAACGTCGTATGCATCCACTTCAGTACTCGCTTTCAAAGTCGGTCGATTCGTGCATCATACTTTATTGTTCGCGTAGAATTTTGAACAGTATAGTGGAGAAAATGGACCATTCCCATTGGATTGGACCTACATATTTTAATTTGATTTTGATAGGATCGTTGTCGGTGCTGGAAAGAGAAAAACTTCAAAGGGTGTATATAATTGTAACCGTTATAACCATAAGGGAATATATATAATATTGTTGGGGCACTGGATTTTTTTTTTATTGAGGAAAAATGTGTATCTAAGAAAATAATTAAAAAATAATGTATGTTCTATTAGAAATATGATTAATTGCGTTGGAAATGTGAAATAAAACGGATTGAGAATCTAAAACGTGCAACGATTGGAGCTTGGATATGAGAGGAAAAAAACGTTTCGTTAGGATAAGTACAATTGCGGATCTGACACTGTCAGATCATATTTTATGTTTTAATTTAAAAATGGACATAAATTAATGTCCTTAACCTAATGTTTAAGGAACCATTTCCATTTGATGATATGATATATCCCTCCTTTTATGTCAAAACAAAACAAAGCACAAATGTACATTATGCAATGTCTGTACACACACACATCACGTGTGTATTGTATATATATGTGTTGCAAATAGATACACCAGTGTATGTATATGCACCTGTGGTTGCATACATATATACACACACACACACAAACACAACGCATATGTATGAGCATATATATATATGTATGTACCTGTGATGATGGCAGTGAGATGAGATGCATCAATCCCTTGTGTAACCTCTTCGGCCGTGGAGGCAGATCCAAATCCACTTGCTCCTCGTCTCCCTGTCACCAGCGAATATATTCCCATGTTTCTTTCTCTATATTCCCCCAATTTCACCTCCCAATTTGATAATATACATATATATATATACACACAAACACTCACACACAAATCTATCTTTGAGAGAGAGAGAGAGGCTTTTGAAGAACAGTATGGCGCATTGAGAATGATATTTATAACATGGGGACGGCCGAGTTGCAAGAGAATTAATGTTAATCTTGGTTTTTGATGGACCTCTACGCGTGTATACATATGTATAGATTTTTTTTGGAAAAATTCCAACAAAAACCCTGTATTTTCCCTCGTCGCAATTTAAACCCTATATTTTTTTAATCCAAAAAAACATTGTACTTTTAAAAATTGGCAAATAAAACCCTAAACGAATAAAAATAGTATTTAATGCTGACATGACATCCTAGTCACCTACCACATCATCAATCCATAATATTTAATAATATTAATTAATAAAAAAATAAAAAAGTAATATTAATAAAAATAAAAATTTAAAAATTATATACATTCATAAAAATTATACACATATATAAACATATTTATACATATTGAAAAGTTCAGGTATTATTTTAGGATTTTCCCTTAAAAATTATACACATATAATACATACATATCTATATATGTGTATAATTATATTTTTTATATGTATGTGTTATATATGTATTTTCCCTAAAAATCATTATATATATATGTATGATTTTTAGAAAAAAATCATATATCACACATACATATAAAATATTTTTATATACACACACATATAAATATATATAATATACATATATATATATATATATATATGTATATATAAATATATTTTATATATAAAAATATATTTTATATGTATGTGTGATATATGTATGATTTTTAGGAAAAAAATATATATATCACACGTATATATAAAACATATTTATATATAAATATATATATATGAATGTATTATATATATATATATAAATATGTTTATATATGTGTATATATGTATATCATTTTATTATATATGTATCAAATTTTTATTTTTATTAATATTATTTTTTTATTTTTTATTAATTAATATTATAAATATTAGGGGTTGATGATGTGACAGATGACTAGGATGTATGTCAGCATTAAATAGTATTTTTTTTTTCGTTAAGAGTTTTATTTGCTAAGTTTTAAAAGTATAGAGTTTTATCTGCCAATTACAATGTTTTTTTGGATAAAAAAATAGAGGATTTAAATTATGACGAGGAAAAAGTACAGGGTTTTTTGTTGGAATTTTTCTATTTTTTTGGAAAAAATATATATATGTATATATATAGAGAGAGAGATTTTATCATGGTATTCCGTATTTGTTGTTATAATAATAAAACATATCCGAGCCAAGTCAGAAGAGGCTCATTAGTACTTTTAGTTTAAACAGTTCACACTTACACTATGGTGTGAATATGGATATATTTGCGAGTTGTCAATTTTATAATTGAATTTAGAATGGTTTGTCAATTTCTTTTTCTTTCTTGCCCATGCATGCATGTAAATGCTATTTCAAAAAATGCAATAAATCATGTTGGATTATATATTTTCAGGTACATGAACCTGTCAAAACACTAATTGTTATGACTTAATATTCAAAACATTGTTATGATGACTTGGCTTGTTGCATTAACAAATATAATCCGGGTAAGCTTCACAACATTGTACCGGTTATTGCGCCTACAACCACCCTTAACCGGATTTAGTTTTATTTTGGATTGAATGGCCAACATTTTAGCCCATTAGTGCATTTTCTTTATTGAGGCCCATATATCTAACTAAGGCCCATTAGTAAACAACACAATGACTTTATTACTCGTCAACGCCGCCAAATGATATTTATTATAGATTTTGTATTAAGTCCCACATGTTTCATAATTTATCACTTTAGTCCTCATATTCCTATATCCATTATCTCCTGAAAAGAACATCATTTGATATTATTTTAAATTCATCGCATCTCCTCTACTTCAATCGAATTTACATGTATGTTTCCTTTTTTTAATTGCTAGCTACTATTTTTTTAAAATGCTAATTGAATCAAATATCATATTTTGTCACTGGATTTTTCAGTTTAAAGGCTTAATGGACCGTTTTGAAAATTTATAAACTTTGGGTGTTAAACACAATCCTTAAATAAATACCGCGTCACTTTTCGGAATGATTCTATAAATAGTTTTTTACGTCGAAAAGAGCCTCGGCATTTGGCAATTCCCTTGCGTTTTCTCGCTCGAACAAAGCCCTAGTCCCTAGATCCCCCTCTTGTTTCATCTTCTTCATTCTCTCTCTCTCCGATCTCAGACGCAGAGAAGATCCGGCGAAGATGTCGAGTGCTTTGGACATGTCACTTGACGATATCATCAAGACTAATCGGAAATCCGCCGGATCCCGTGGGGGCCGCGGCAGCGGTGGTCGCGGATCCGGTGGTCCGGGTCCCGCTCGCCGCTTCGCCAACCGCGTTGGAAACCGAGTGGCACCGTACTCAACGGTCAGCAATTGATTTCTCCTCATCTCATCTTCCTCCAAGAGCAGAGATTCCTAGGGTTTCTTTGTTGGTTGTGCAAAAAAGTTGAGATTCGTAGGGTTTTTCAGTCGGTTGTGAAAAAAAGTTGAGATCTGTTTTCGTTTATTCTTCTTCTTTGACGAACAACAGCCGGTACCAGCTCCAGATTCAGCGTGGCAGCACGACATGTTCGCGGGCGATGCATCTATGGCGGCGGGTTTTGGGGTCCTTTCTGCGGGCGGTGCTTCTTCAATTGAGACTGGAACTAAGCTTTACATTTCCAATTTAGATTTCGGGGTTTCCAACGAAGATATTAAGGTTAGCTTCGTTTTTACATTTCTTTTTAATATATTAAGGGGTCAGGGATGGGCTGTGATACGGCGTCTGTGGTTTGCATATGATTTGGAATACTGAAAAGGATAAAAGAATTTCAAATAGGGTATCTGAGTTCTTGGCCAACGGATCAGGAAGAAAACTGAATTTTTTTTTTCAGATGCCTACATCTTAAGTTATAATGGGTGGTCAAATTTGGTCTGGATCATGGTTAATTTAGGTTCATGCTTGAGTTCGGGTGTTGGCAACATTTTTGTAGTTTTGGTAATGAGTACTGTATTTTATCCGGAAAATGTAAAGTTTTGTTTTGGAATTGGAATTGGTCTCGGTTATTGTTCGGTCACCCTTTTATTTGCCCCTTTAATCCATATTAATTTTGTATTGATCACTAGGTTACTTGCCTTGCTTTGCTTTGCTTTACGAGTCTACTCTCTTTAAATGTCCGGGTTGAAATTTTAGTGCCTTTTTATGACTTGTAATGGGGGTTGCCTATGTGAAGTATCTGCTTTTTGCTAATGCAAGTTTTTATTTGTTTGTAGGAGCTCTTCGCAGAGGTTGGTGACCTTAAACGATATGGCATTCATTACGACAGGAGTGGAAGATCGAAGGTACTAGTGGAGTTTCAACTGTGTCAGCATCTACTATGAAAGAGCCTTATCCTGATTAAGCAGTAAAACCATTCTCCCAGGGTACAGCTGAGGTTGTCTTCTCCAGGAGAGCTGATGCCATGGCTGCTGTCAAGAGGTACAACAATGTTCAACTGGATGGCAAGCCAATGAAGATTGAGATAGTGGGGACAAATCTCTCAGCTCCAACTCCAGCTCCGCCTCCTTTGCCTGCAAACAGGATGTTTGGAAATTTAAATGGTGCCCTCAGAAGGTCTGTATTGTTATAACCTAGGTGGCCTATACTAACAATCACTTTATTTAGTGTGATTTCTTACATGGCAGCTCATCATATCATGTTACTGAGCAAACAGATAGAATTGGTTACCAGTTATGTTCCTAAGATTTGAAGAAAGATAGCAGATGGTTGTCTATGGGCTTAGTTTTTAGCCATTGATCTTTGTTGAGTATGTGTTGCATATATGTACAAGGACACAAACAGATGCCTAAAATCTGGGGCCGATTGAGTTCATTGCATTTGTTGGCTGATCAGCTTTTATTGAAAAAGATGCCTGTAGTTCGGATGGGATTTATTAGTATGTTGATAACATTATTCATCGTGGGTGTAGTGTAGTTACTGTTAGCTATTCTGAAATGGTGATAAAGTGTTAAACTTGTCGTACTCCCTGGTCAAGTCGACTTATTATTAGAGAATCTACTGTGTAACAGAGGCAGGGGAAGAGGTGGTTTTGCGGGGAGGCCACGTGGTGGTGGAAGGGGGGGAGGTCGTGGGAGAGGTAGAGGTCGTGGAGGTGAAAAGGTGTCGCAAGAGGATCTTGATGCTGACCTGGATAGCTACCACAAAGAGGCCATGGAAACCGAAGGAGGAAACTAAGGCGAATTCCAGTTTGAGCTTTATACATGGCATGTTTTTGGTTTTGTTCAGGGTCCATGATAATGCTTTGATGTACCAGACTTTGCTCTTTTGTTAGATTGAATTTGTAAGATTGTCAATCTGGGTTTTGGCGTTATTGCAGGGTTTAGCTGTGTCTGTACCTGTACCATGGGAACTTGATCCTTGCTTTAAATTTAAACTGTTGCCTCAATGTTAGAGGATATGATGTGTATTGTGTGTTTTGCTGACTTGATATCATTTCTTAGCATATGATTTGATTAAACACAAACACAGAATTGCTTGTTGTAAGATTCATAACCCATTATTATGTGGCTTTAGGGACAAAAGAATACAAAGCAGTTTACATTTAAATTAAAGAAAAAAAATCGCAGATCCTTATGACTAACTGTACTTTTGGAGAGGTGATGGCTACTTACTTGGATCCTAAAAAAACAACATCATACGGAAGTACATTACTCTCGGCTGGTTGCTTTGTGGTTGTCTTTATCTTCTTCGTCTTCCAGACTCTGATCCTTTCCCTGGCAAGGAGGCAGAAAGCGAAGAAGAGAGAGACACCATCATAAGGGAGGGAGGGACACACATACACACATACGTATGGATATACGACTCAATACTTGTTTTGTTATACACCCTCTGAGAACAAAGGAGCTAACATTTCATTCTTTTGTAGTTTTTGACGGAAACAAACCTCTACTAACTGGACTTGTGTCGTCGATGCGTTCCTTTATTCCAATGATATTACGGCCCTGGAAACAAGTAAGACACCCAGATTCATAACCAAGAACGCAGATGTCAAGATCAAACTGGTTCAAGAGCCTAATTTCCATCCATAGAGTTCATGCTCAGTTTTCGTGTGATCGATTAGAAAGCGTGCAATGTGAATGGTGTAGTAGAATTGAACTCTGCCTCTGCTGGAAAGAAAAAACTATGTTAACAATGAAACATGGAGTAAATAGATATGCAGGAGGAGAATCTAAGAATTCAGATACTCATATTGGTGCCGTGAAGAATTAATTATCCGAAGATCAACAACATGCCGAGAATTGAGATTAGTCACTATGAATGAAAACGATCTTTAAGTGAACTGTGAACATCAAATTCCCATACCGCATCATAGACTGGAACTTGATTGCGCCAGAACTCTAAAGTTGACACGAGCAATCTTCCTGCAAAATTAACAACAGTTTTCCTTTTTGTAGAAGAATGTGATTCATAGTGTCGATATAGCATATATATATATATGCAATAAGTGCTATATATGCCATATAGCATATATATAGCAGTAGAAGCTGCCCCCCCCCCCCCCCCCCTTT